GGGCAGACAAGTTTGCCTGGTGTTGGCCAGAGTGGCCACCAGGGCAAGCTGGGAAGGGCTAGCCTCCCACTAGTTCGAATTAAGGGTCTACACAGCCCTTAATTCGAGCTAGCTAGTTCGAACTAGGCTTAATCCTCGTAAAATGAGGTTTACCTAGTTCGAACTAAGCGCTCCGTTAGTTCGAATTAAGTTCGAACTAACGGAGCGCTAGTGTAGCGCCTATGAAAGTTAGTTCGAACTAACGTCCGTTAGTTTGAACTAACTTTGTAGTGTAGACATACCCTCTCTCTCTCTCTCTCTCTCTCTCTCACACACACACACACACACACAACATTACAACCAGCATCCAGCACTACTCACCGCCAACATCCTCTGAGAGTAGGAGTTGGAATCTACCTGTCAGTCAGGATTCAATGGGAAGCCAAGCCCTGGACACAGGATATGTGATCTACACTGCTGCTGGGAAGTGTATTTCCCAGGCCTGATAGACATAGGTATGCTAGTTGAGCTTGAGCTAGCACCTAAAGATACCAGTGTGGCCCCAGTGGCATGGGCTAGCTGTCAGAGTACATATCTAGATTCTTGAATGGGATACTATGGAGTGGCTGGCATGAACTGCTGCCATGGCAACACTGCTATTTTGAGCATGCCAGTTGGAGTAGAACTAATACACGTACATTCACCTGAGCTGGGAATTATGCCTCCCAGTGGCAGTGTTGACATTACCTCAGAAAATCCAGATTTCAGCTAGGGTGGCATCACTGTTGCTTCCTAATAGGATGAGGCATTTGTACCAAATTTATTCAAGTGATGTGCCATATCTGTGCTTAGTTTGCAGTTCATATAAGTTGGGACAGTTTATTGGGAAAGCATTATTTCAAGTCTCAAGCACACAAGAATTCCTTTTCCAAGTGCTCCCAGAAATGGGAGAGGACCACTATCTCAAGTTTTCATCAAGTGAAGTGGTAGAGGACATGTTCTGTCAACATGGGACTTCAAAAACTGATCAGGTAGAAAGAAGAAGCTCCAGGCTATAGCCCAGGAGAGCACTGGAGGCAAAAAACTATTAATAGGGGGACAAACATCTGTGAGCTAAATTAAAATTAGATCCATATGACAAATATGCTTAGTTTAAAAACAAACAAATAATGTAGGAACAGATGACATATGAATGAAAGATGAGAAAGAGACTGCAGTTACTCATTCTACCTTTGTGCTGAACTGAAACACAGCGACAGGCAGGGAGACTCCTCTGTGTTTGAAGGAGGAATAAATAGAATATCCTTTCAGCTAAACAACTGCATTCTCCCTAGGGCAAAAGAAAACAGGATGTGCATGCTAAAATGCCTGGATCCTGGTTCTGATCCCTACTGCTGGAGTCATGGATAAACCTTAGAATGGGATTTCAATGGGTCTGACCATGAACGAAAACAATAATGAAATATTTCTAATTTTGCAGCTCTGTTCCTAGCCTTGCCTGTTCCTGCATATGAGTACCAAGCCCAGAATTTGTTCCTGAAGCTGCACTATACCGTGACATTTACAGGATATCCTAGCATGATTGTCATTCAAAATAACGTCAAGAATTTTAAAAATATGTCCCAAACCACTTTTTTCTTTCTGTTTATTAAATGCTTTGTACCAAGGACTGAAATTCTTGGCTTTTTAAAGTAAATGCAACAAGTTAGATTTCCAGTGACTTACCATAGTTAGAAATCTGTTTTAATACTCTGCTGTAAACACTGGAGCTAAAAAAAATAATAAAAAATTGGAATTAACATTCCGCTAGTTGCTAAAAATAAACCAGATACAAGCGGTTTACCTTGGGCTTTGGTTTGTATACACACTCTAGACATATTTACTCCTGCATTTCATATTTTACTGGACTTTTATGATTAACTTGAACATTTTTCTTCACAGAAAAGAAATAAATTATTTTGCAATGAACTTCTCTTCTATATAGCTCACCCATCTGTAACTAGAGCTGGACAATTCAGTCTTAAAAGAACAATTAATATACATAATTATTGAATATTCCTTGCTTCTTAGAGCATTGACATCTTAATTATTAATGCAGAGGGGACCTTAAAGCCCCAATTCTGCAATTTGAGCAGCATGGATGGACACTACTTTTTCATTTTTAAATATCTGCTAGTCACCATATAAACAAAAAATGAAAGACACTACCTCATTGAGAAAGCTTAACATCTATATTGCAGCTCATTTCAGATTTGTATAGCTGAAGGGGGGGGGGGGGGGGGGGGGTGGCAGGTTATGCAAAGTAGGCCTTATAGAATGAGGTCTGTATAAGCTAACTGTAATGTAGACCAAAGCTGAATTAGTTTCCCAGACCTAAAGAAGTGCCTCTGAGTAAGCTGGAAAGCTTTTCTGTTTCACCAACAGAAGCTGGTCCAACAAAAGATATTACCTCACTCATCTCGTATCTCTTTTAAATGTACTATTATTCAAAGTGATTCATACTTTGAACAATTGTATGTAGATTGCTACTTGAAATGTGCTATAGTGAATATCAGTAATCACATACATTTAAAAGCATTATTTCTGTTCCCTGATAGGTCAACAACTTTTGCAATGGAATTTTCTGTGTGATTACAGAAAGTGAATTTAGCATTTGTTCTTCGAGAGCATGTGAGGTTACGAATTAGCTTCTTTGCTATTAAAGCTAAGGGAACAGACGGTCTGCCTGCAGTCCCTCATCTAGGGAATCAAGACAGAGCACCAGGAGCGGGCTGGCAGCCAGGAGGAGCATGGGGCTAACTGGGAGAAGAGGAAGGCTGCATGGGAAGAGCTGGTGTGTCAGCATGATGCTATGTTCACCACCCTCACCTTCGTGATGGAGCTCATGGAGTGGGCCACCAGCCACCTCCACACCCACCCAATGGCTTCCCCTCCAAGGTTCCCCAGTGGCTGCCTGGGCCACAGAACATGGGGAAGTTGGGCCTCTCGAGCAGCCACAGCCTCCAGGCCACCCGGAGGCAGCACCACTCTGAGCCCCATCCCTGAATCCCCTACCCTCATTCCAGGTTCTTTTCCTATTCCCTCCCTGAAAAATTCCTGGTTTTTGAAAAATGGTCTTTTGATTGCTTGAATTACAGAGGTGAGTTGGAGTGGACAGGGAAGGGGGCTGAAAGGCAAACATGGGGAATGCAGGGGAACCTTGTGGAGAATCACTGGGGAGAGTCTCAGAACTGGCCTTGCATAAAACTGCCCTTCAAGGCATCTCTGATGAGCACAGCCATTCCACTACCATTTGGCACTTGCCCAGCCTGGTATTGAAGTGCTCCTTGTTGGGGTCCAGCCTGCCTGTGTAGGGCTTCAAGAGCCAGGGGAGTAAGGGGTAGGCTGTGTCACCCAGGATGACGATGAGCATGTCCACCTCCCCAACCTGATGATGCAGTCTGGGAAAAAAGTGCCGGCATGAATCTTTTGGAAGAGTCAGGAGTTGTGAAAGATGTGGGCATTGCGTGCCTTTCCCGACCATCCAATGCTGATGTTGGTGATGTCAGTGTAGTGTCCCTTGTGATTCATGAGGGCAGGCAGCACCATGGAGAAGGACCCCTTCCTGTTGATTAACTCCGAGGCATGGTGGCTCGGGGCCAGGATTGGGATGTGTATGCTGTCTGTGGCTGGGCACAGTTGGGGAAGCAAATGATGGCAAAGCCATCGACAATCCCAATGTGACAACCCTCCATAGCAGCAAATGGTTGATGGCCTTGGCTACCTGCATGAGCATGGCTCCAACTGTGGATTTTCCCACGCCAAATTGGTTCCTGACTATCCAGCTTGGTGACCTTCCACAGGGTGATGTGCTTCTGCACGGGGATGGTGGGTCTCAGGTATGTTGCCTGAGGGCAGAGGTGAGCCACTCGCAGAGCTCCAGGAAGGTGGCCTTGAGCATACCAAAGTTCTGCAGCCACTGCTGACTGTCCCATTCCTGCATGCCGATGTGGTCCCACCAGTCAGAGCTCGTCTCTCACCACTAGAAGTAGTGTTCCACTGTATGCAGGAGACTGAGGGGCGTGCGCAGCAGCAGGAGCGCCAGGACCTGGGTGACAAAGACATAAACCAAGTTACATATGGGCTTATGTGTTTGCTAGTGATCGTAAAGTGCTTTGAAGGTGAAAATAGTTTTTTTAACTTATGTTTTTTTAAGTAAAATTTACTTTGCATGTGCTATAACCACTTTTTCCATTCATGTGAAATGGTCTATTTTAATGTCCTCACCCACATCCAAAGCCCTTGGTCCAAATGACAAATTCTCTGAAAAAAAATAATTAAAAAAATCACGAATAAAAACATGTTTGAGTTTTAGAACAGCTACAACTACAAAGCATTGCAACTGGCTTTAGAAAGGCTCAAGCTATTTATTGTATGGGGAAGGGGAGGAGGAAAAAATGGAAGAGGTTTGTCAGGAATTTCCAAACAAGTTTATTACTGCTGAGTTTCAGCTCAGAGTAAATATTTACAGATAGAAATAAATGTGACTTTGTTCCATTCCATATTTCACCACAATGTGACTCTCAGCAAATCTAGGGGCGTCACTTTCACATCTTCCTGGAAGATACACGTGAGAGAGAAGAGCTAAAGAAAGTGACTGTGACTCTTTCTCTCTGTCACACAAACACACACTCTGGTAATAGAGGCATCAGTGCAACTCCCAGCCGAACTGCTTCTCGCAGGCAGCACTGTGTGGGCGGTCTGCAGAGCTGCGTTGCCAGAGGAACAGAGCGATGACAGCCACCTCCCCTTGACGTCCCCAGCCCAGGCAGGGAGGCTATAAAGAAGTGGAGGGCTGGGGAGCAGCCTGGGGAGCGCTCTCTGTGGGAACACGCCTGGGCTCTTGCGTGCGGGTCACTGGAGATTGTCAGGGGGCGGAGGTGAGGCACTCGAAGCAAAGCGGGTTTGCAGCCCAGCTGGAAGACACAGCGGGCTCTGCACGGCAGACCCCTTTTGAAGCGCTCAGGCAGGAGCTGGAGAGAGGGCTGGCTCAGGATGAATGAAGTGAAGCTCGCCGTGCTGGGCAGCAGAGGAAGCGGCAAGTCTGGTAAACTGACAAGTCAACTTTGTGGGGTTGGGGACCGGGAAGGGGGTGTATTAACTAGGATTTCAATGTTGCTCGGGTTTCTCCCTCCCAAGTTTTGCAAGGGTGGTTGCATCATGGGCAACTTGACTTTTTTTTTAATAATCCATTGATGGCCAGCGGTTTTCTGCAGCTGCTTTGAAGGCAGAGAGTTGGAAACAGCTGCCATGTTTGAAGAGTTGCCCATTCCAGCTCCACACTGCCCTTTCCACTGTGCTACTAAAAGCCTCTGATCCCCCTCCCCGGAACTGTGCATTATCGATCGCTCCACTTTTCGTTCCCAGTTTGCAACTCCCCCCCTTGATAATCATTTGGGGGCAGCGTAGAGTGAGGAAAACCCTACGGAGTTTGGCTCACCAAGTAAAATCAAAAGTTGTATAAAGTTAACCCTCTGAACCAAGCACGTGCTCAGCTGGAGTTTGTTTTGTATTGCAGCCCTAACAGTGAGGTTCCTAACCAGGCGCTTCATTGGAGAATACGCTTCTAATTCGGGTAAGCTTCCATGCACAACTTTTTTGCGTTTTGTTTTAGGCTTTCTATACATCAGACCACTAACGCCATAAAAATATGAAATGCCTGTTTTAATTTCCTACCAGATACATACCTGAATTTTCTTTTTAGATGTTCTAACGTGTTTCCTCATCAAAATGTTTTATATATATATTACAATCACTGAAATGATTTTAGAACATGAAGAATAGAAATATAAAACTCATGTAAAAAGGAGATGTATAAAAAAAGATGTATAAAAATGAGCAGGTAACACTCAGATAACACACCTTGTGCCAGGTAAAGTACTAATCAGAAATTTAAAAAATGCCAAGGGTTAAAGAAACTTGATTAGCTCAGACTAAAAAAGCTGGTAAACTCTGTATACTATAAAGAGGAGAGAAGACAGTTAAAGAAGAGAGTGAAGATATAGAAAAGTAATGTTCTTACTTTCTCTGCCAATACACTTCTTGTCTCAAGAGGCATTTTTAATGAAAAAGTGGCCTTAAGAAATGAGCTATAAAGCATCTAGAGAAAAGAATGCAGGAATGGGGAAATTCCAGAGGCATAGACAGCAGTTACCAATCCAACTCCCATTCCCTTTTCGTTATTTGTACTGCAATAGTGCTTAGGAATCCCTGTCACGGACCAGTGCCGCATTGTGCTAGGTGCTCTACACACAAAACAAGAAAGACAATCTATGCTCTACAGAGTTTACAATCCAAATCTAATTTTGGAAATAAGATTTGGGTGCATAATTGCCTTCTGTGCCTCTGAGAACCTCTTAGGGTGCATTTCCACAGCACCCTAAACTCCACTGAATTTTGAAATAGTGTATTTCAAAATTTGGTGTGTATACACAATGCCAAATTTTGAAATAATGTGCTATTCTGAAACATCCCTTAACCTTTGTGGAATGAAATAGTGCATCCTCTATTTTGAGATCAATCTCAAAATAGTAGATGCATTCAAAAGTATCCCGAAATATCCCGATTGTGTGGACATACCCTTGGATCAGCTGTACTCAATAGGACAGGGGAACTAGCTAGTACTGTGAATTTCTCTCTCTCTCTCTCTCTCTCTCTCTCTCTCTCTCACACACACACACACACACACACACACACACACACACACACACACAGTTTTTCAAGGGACATTTTTAGCAAACCTATGTATTTATAAACTGAAGCTCAGACTGTTAGAAAATAATTTTTCCTCTGCTTTTATAACTAAGAGGTAAATAAAATAAAAAGAGAGAGAGAGAGAGAGAAAGAAAGCAAGCCACAAAGAAACATAGAACATTTTGTAGTGGAAATGAAAAGAAATTGAATTTCAAAAGTTTTTATGTTCTTACTTAACTGTGGATACCATAGTTTAATTGTGCTGCAGATTCAATTCTTCTAATTTTCTTTCTTTCTAATATTTTCCCCCAAATATTCACTTGAGGATTCTGAAGGAAGTAAGGAGATAGAAAAAGATAGGCAAAATATTAGTAAGAACTGCAGCTTTTTTCCCTTTTTCAAAATAAGATGTAGGTACAGATTTTTAAAGGCATTTAGGAATTGTGCTCAGTATTGAAATGCCTCTGGCTCATTTTTAAAATAGATTTAAGTATTTTGACTCCTTAGTGCTTGAATCACTTTTGAAAATCAGGCTGAGGCTCCCAACTTAGGTGTTGCAATGTGAAGCACAGTAGTGCCTAAATAATTTTAAAAACCTGGGCCTATGTCTCAGACTTTAAGAATATCGGATACCTTAACGACCGGATCCTATGGAGGGAAATGCTTGTTATGGTGAGGTTTTCCTTTTGAGTCTCATTGGTGTGCTCCTAATAGTAGCTTTATGCAGGATCAGCACCTAAGTTAAGGCTTGTATAATACCAGCATAATTATAGCTTGATAGGATCAAACCAATACTGCATGGCTATGTCTACACTGGTGCAATCTTGCACCAAAGCGGCCGTTTTTGCGCAAAAACTTGCTGCCTGTCTACACTGGCTGTGTGTTCTTGCTCAAGTAAACTGACGTTCTACTGTATAAAATCAGGGCTTCTTGTGCAAGAACTATGATGCTCCCGCTCAGGAATAAGCCCTCTTGTGCAACTGTTCTTGTGCAAGAGGCCAGTAGAGACAGGCAACATGAATTTCTTGCTCAAGAAAGTCCTATGGTTAAAATGGCCATCAGAGCTTTCTTGCGCAAGAGAGCATCTACCCTGGCATGAATGCTCTTGCGCAAAAGCACATGCCAGTGTAGAAGCTCTCTTCTGGAAGAGCTACTCAACACCCGAGGTATGTTTTGGGTTTATGTGGAGTTCAGCATGCAGCCCATGGGTGGGATCCTTTGAACATGGCCTTCACTAGGAACATGCTCCACAATGGCGAGGCATCTCCCAGTTGGGGTGAGCATTGAAAAACGTAAGCAGATGGGCTGGCTGGAACAGAGGGGTACAGGGTGTCAGCATTTCTAGCCCCCAGGAAGGAAGTGCTGGGAGCGCCAGGGCATTGTGGGAAGTGCTTTGTCTTCATGCCCATCAGTGTGAAAGAAACTATTTGCATATATATTTGCATGTACATGAAACCACACTTCAGTTGCAGCCCTCGGCATGTGCTGTGAGTATCATTGTGGCCCCCGGGACTTCCAAATTTGAGTAGCCCTGCTTTACAGTATCAGATCAAGTTCTGTCAGAGGATTGATATTAGATTTGATGGACCAAGGGCAAATCCTCTATCACAATCTGATGTTTCTTCATTAGCAATACATCAATTAAAGCCTTTTTTATCTCTTTATCTGTTAACTCTGATATTGATTGTAATGCCATATGCCTTGCAGAATGCATCTACACTAAACATTTGTGTCTGGATGGGAGACAAATGAATCTGGAAATTTATGATCCTTGTTCACAGGTAAGTACAATTTATAGAAGATGAGCCCAGCAAAGTTGTTCCCAGAGGTCCCTCTAAGGGCTCGATTACACTATCACTTTACTTCACTGTAGCTTTCTTGCTCAAGAGTGTGAAAAAAACATATCCCAAGTGCAGCAAGTTACAGGGCTATAAAGGGCCAGTGTAATCAGGCTCCCAGCACTGTTAGTTACTCTGCTTGTGGCGATGGTTTACCATACAGTGCCATGACCACACTGCCATGTTAAAGCACTGTTGCAGCTGCACTTTAAATGTACCAGTGTAGACAAAGCCTAAGTGAGAGGGGAGGAAGAAGAGAGCCGGAAAGCTATTTGAGTTACTGACATGAAAGCTCGACATTCCTGTGACTAGGATGTATCAGGACTCTCTCTGTGCTGGTCATTTTCCAACTTTACAGAATGAGCCCTTTACTGGACAACTTTCTAGTCAATGCTTTTCTCCATTAAAGCTACCAATGACAACCAAATGTAACATTGTACAGTGAAATTACATGTAACTTTCAATTCATAGGAGGGGCAAAAAGGTTGCAAATCACTGCAGCTGTGTCTAGACTGGCAAGTTTTTCTGCAAAACTTGTCAGCTGTCTACACTGGCCGCTTGAATTTCCGCAAGAACACTGACTTCCTACTGTAAGAAATCAGTGCTTCTTGCAGAAATACTATGCTGCTCCCATTTGGGCAAAAGTCCCTTTTGTGCAAAAGCTTTTGCACAAAAGGGCCAGTGTAGACAGCTCAGATTTGTTTTGCACAAAAAAGCCCCGATCGCGAAAATGGTGCTCGGGGCTTTTTAGCGCAAAAGCACGTCTAGATTGGCATGGATGCTTTTCCACAAAAAGTGATTTTGCGCAAAAGCGTCCATGCCAATCTAGACGCTCTTTTCTGCAAATGCTTTTAACGGAAAACTTTTATATTAAAAGCATTTGCGGAAAATCATGCCAGTCTAGACGTAGCCTGCTTGTATTGTTTCCCCAACTATCCTTTCAAATAATTAGACATTTTTAAATCAACCAACTAAATTTCTTGAACCTGTGGCAATGGCCATATAGCCATAAACCCAAAGTCTGAATTCACAGAATAGACCCTGTGTTATTGACAATGCAGACTTCCCCATGTGAACTTAACTCTGGAAAAAAATACTTCTAAGGCAGTTCAGCCTTCATGGTCATTCAATTCCTTCTTTCTCTGCTGAAAGGGTTAGTAAAGAAATTATGGTGATGGATGTGCCATAAAAATCAAGACAGAGAAGCCAGCTTATTTCCCACAGAATCACCCACCCAAAGCAGACCTTATCCACTCATCTCTCTAGTACTAGACTCTGCAGAGAACCATCACCCATGTGGCCAAAGAATCTAAGGCTGGAGAATACAAATGAAGGGGAGGGCCAAATAGAGCTTCAATCATCCCCTCTTCTCAAATCTTGGCGAGGATCTCGATGAATATTAATGAAGCTCCACTTTACTGTTTCTACTGCTGCCTTTCTGTGCTTTATGGGCTCCCCTCCCCACACCTTAATGAGGCAGCCAGAGGTGGCTTTCTGGAGCCCGGCCCCCACCATTAGGGACTAGGCCAGGACCTCTAAGAAGATAGCTCTGGCCTTCCACAACTCCCTCGATCTGATTCAGTTGGGGGGTGAAACCCCTGGGGACAGAATGATTGGGGGAAACTCCTCCTTTGATTTTCTTTCTCTCCTCTACCCTCAGACTGAAGCTTGGTGGTATGTTCTATGACAGAAGCCCGTGACCACACTGAATAGAACAGAAACCAACTCAGTTCCACAGGCACCTCTCAGAGGCACCTCTCATTTCTGGCTATTGCAAATCTGAGCGACACTTGAATCCTTACTTAGACCTTGCTTGGAGGGGAAAGCTACCAAAAAATCCCCACGGTGCAGTTGAACTAGAGGACAAGTAATAGCAGGGGCAAATCTCCTGCAGTCAGAACCCTTCCATTCCCATTTCAGTTAGGCTCGTATTTCATCTGGCATATCTAAAAGGATGGTGGAGGGCACTGAAGTCTTGCCTATGTAGTGCCTCCCACCAGTCCCAACAATGATTCTGCTGAATTAGTCCATCTCTTTAGGTACATTTTCCCAGTGCTGACAACCTTGACTGTGAAAGGCTCTATCCCATATCTAAGCCACCCATTTCCCCGTAAATGATCTGTTTTAGTTGCAAAGTGCACGGATCAGCACATGTTGCAATAGATTATAAAGCAATAGATTGAAAAGCATACTTACTAAGTAGAGAACTTCTCTTACTAGATTTCTATAGCACAGCACCTTTTTATACATAAATACGTACACACACACAAATATCCTGAATATAAACAGAACTGTACTTTTTATATTGAATTGCAGGCACAATAGAGGGAGTAGCATAGGTTGTTTAAGAAATACACAGAGCATTAGGGAGAAGAGAGATCATTAGAAACCACCAACAATCTGGATCTAGAAAAGTTTTCCATCTGTAATATACAACCCATGAAATCTCTTCTTCATGGTCTTAAACATCTTTAAAATATATAAAAATAATGGAAAAAGTTATGCTGTCCTCTTTTTCCTCCTTTGACATTAAGTATCACCTACTCTGGTGTTATCTCATGTACATTTCTTTTAGCCATTTTCAAGGTGCTTTCAGGTCTTGATCCTTAAGATTAATGATTTTGTCTGAACTTTCTCCAATGCTTCATTATGGATTTCAGAATATAATTTTAAAAATCATATGTATTTTATTAAATGGCCCGTGGACTTGTTCCCAACTATTTAATCTACCTCTTAACTTGTTGCTCCCCTCCAGCTCATCTGCCACCAACTGCTTTTGCATAGTTTTTCACCTGTTGAGGTGTCAGCATCTTTATGCCTTTGTTTGTAATTGGCCTTATCCTTTTTCCAAAGTAAATATGGAACCCTATCTTTTGTCCCTTCTATCTCCCTCTGCTTTCACTTTCACAGTCCTGTTCTAACTTCCCACCACTCATATTAACAAAGTGTCTCTCACCCAAAAGTCTGTGTGGTGACTTCATGTCCCACTAAAGGGATTATGTATGCTCCAAGTCTTTTCAGAGATTGGGGGAAAGGTTGAATGGACAGGAGGGTGAATGATTCACTAAAGTAACCTTCTTAGTGAAGGAACAGACACAAACACCAGAGCTGCTTCTGTATAGAGAACTGGGTGGGAACATTTAAATAAATCAAGTTGACAAACACCCCATATGCATTTTACTAGGATGAAGAGAAGCTATACCCTATTTATAAAAGGGTTAAACAAATGGCCATATTTGTTCTCAGTTACCCTGGGATAAATTCAGAGAGAACCCATTGCAATCAAAGGAGCAGAGTTTGGCTATAAGGTTTAACTTTACTAATTATTATAGCTTGTCAGGGGGGTTAAAGTTCTGGAACGTTGTTTATACATTCATTATAACAATCATGGGCAATGATGGTTATTATTTGATTATAGCTCTTTGGAGAACCAGAGCCAGACCAGGGCCCCTTTGTGCTGTGCAAAGTACGAGCACATAGGTTTTTTTCTCATTCTTAGAAAGAAAATATTGTAAAATGACAACAATAAGAGATCCTTTCTGTTGACATATGCATTTCATTGCCTTCAGCCACGGCAGGGGAAGCTGTCCCTCACGGATGAGCTTCACTGGGCTGACGGATTTGTTATTGTTTATGACATCAGCAACAGGGCTTCCTTTGCATTTGCGAAAGCTTTGCTGTACAGGATACGAGACTCCCACATAGCAGCTTGTAAAAGGTATGTCGCATCATACTTACTATATTTTTGTTTGATCTAACGTATGAAAACAGAAGAGTCTGTGAGCGCTAGGCATCCTAGCAACCGCTAAAATAACACTCCACACAGCAATAGCACCTGGCAACATAACAACTGTAATAATATATTAGATGGAAAATGCAGCAGCAAAATGTGTTCCATTCCACTCAAACTCCAAAATACTTCAGGCTTTTTCCATCTTCCTCATGCTCTGACACTGAACGATAGCCCAAATTCAGAACTCCAAGATTTATCTGTAACATAGAAATTGCACTAATTGAAACCAGGCCTGTGATATTGCGATTACATGTAAATCATACTCTCCTGTTAGGGGATGTAAAACTGACTACTCTGATTAAGATTAGACAACCTATAGGTTAAAGTGCTGGTAGTTAACTATGATGCTGCCCTCTCCATTGCTGACTCCAGCACAGATGTTCCAATAGGAAGTTTGAAGAAAATACTAGTGTAGATACACTCTAGAGATTTGACACCAAGAACTCCTTCTAAAATTGGTCATGGTCAGTGACATAAACTCCCTTTGTGTCCTTGAGCAAATAATTTAAATGAATTCAGAGGTCCGTGACGCAAATCAATTAGGGAACTGTTTGAACACGGAACGCTCAATATCAGTATTCACAACAGTTGACCTAAGAATGCATAACCTGCTGAGGCTTTGCTTAAATAAAACATGACCTGAGAAGAAAATCATCTTAAATTGGGAAATTATTTAAATTATATTTTCAGCCCCTTTCACCATATATTGCCTCAGCCCAATTCCTTGGTGCATATATTTTTTCACACACTTTTTAATATTTAAGAGGAAAAATCTAATGTAAACAAAATTTTTGTCTTTAATAAAACATCACTAAAATGGGATTTAGTCATTTGCCTCACAGATGTTTTAGGATAGCAATCTGAGATTCTACATAGCATCTAATGGCCTAAATTAATACAGTATAAAAATGAATTCATTTTACAAGAGCGGGTACACTGCTTTATAAGGCTTTTTGTCTCATCCAAACCTTTTTGATTTCCAGAGTGGTGGAGTCAGCTGTGTTCTTAGTTGGTAACAAGCAGGATCTATGCCATATGAGAGAAGTAGGCTGGGACGAAGGACAAAAGCTGGCGATGGATAACAAATGTCAGTTCTCTGAACTGTCTGCTTCAGAACATTGTCAGGAAGTGGTAACCATGTTCACAACAGTCCTAAGAACCATCGCCACAAACTTCAAAGTGAAGGAAAAGAGACGACCCAGTGGGTCAAAGTCAATGGCCAAACTAATCAACAACATGTTTGGGAAGAGGAGAAAGTCTGTGTAGTGGATGTCCAGTCTGATGGGAACCATTGAACAAGGATGCACTGAAGCATTGCAGGAGTGGGCCATGTAAAATGCTTGGACTTAGCCAATGTGTACATGTGTTTAAAAGGTCTCCATTTGAAAGGATATGGTACAAACCAAAGATAAGTGGCAGTATGAGCCAGTAGACAGGGTACGGCAGTGGGTTTCAGAAGACCAGGCTTCCATTTACAGCTCTACCATGGACCTGCTAGGTGACCTTAGCAAGTATCTTCATCTGTTTGAGCCTCTGCTCCCCTCTCAACCTGTGTCTTTGCTGTTTAGATTGTAAGCTCTTTGAAGAAAGGGCAGTCTTTTCTTACTCTCTTTTTGTAGAGCGAGACTGGGAACAATGGGGCCTTAATCTTGGTTGCCTTGACACCGAACAAGAGCCCAATGTCAGAATTCCAAGGTTTATCTGTAACATAGTGATTGCACTAATTGAAACCAGGAGTGGTATTTTGTGATATTGCACGTACAGGTAAATGAGTGGAACGTACTTAATGGCTGACTTTCAGGGCTTCCTTCCCCTGAAAAGCTGCCAGGAGTAGGGAGTCACATAAATGAGGTCATTAGCTATTTCCCATTACAATATTATTGACGGAGAATGATGGGAAGAAGTATGGGAGTCAAGAGCTTTGTGCTCCCTTTGGCTCAGTTGCTAACTTGCTGTGTGACCTTCGGAAAGGTCTTATTGGGTGAAATTCACTCCTAGAGATCAATTTTAATCTTCTCTAGACATGTGGTTATTTGACTCTATGACTTTAAGCTTCAGAGGTGGAAGCCAGTCCCTTAGACCATCTTTTGTTCCCATGCTGATGACCAGTGCAGCCCAAGTACCACTGAGATCCAAGAACTTGGGCTCAGATTATCACAGGTATTTAGGCACTCAACACCCATGGGTCTCTGCCCTTAATTTGGTCCTCTGCACATGGGTGATTTTTTTTTCTCTCCATGCCTCAGTTTTCTTATCTGCAGTATGGGTATAACAATTGCCTGTCTACTCTGTTTTATTTAGGGGTAGAATCTGAAAAGCCCCTAAGTAAGAAACATAAACCTGACCAGGATTCAAAATCAGACTTTCAGTGGACTTGCGGCCCTAAATCCCATACTTCTCTTAAAACCCATACGCAGCACCATGGTAATGAAATGCCTTTGTAAAGCGCTTTGATTTATATAGACAGTGCTTTAGGAGTGCCTTATCATTTTCCCCCCACACTGATGCTTAACATGAGGCAGCAAAGTCTAAATATTTAGCAGAAATATTTAGAAGAAAATCAGTCTTCTGACTGTGTACTTAGGTACATATGTACCCATGTTTTTAACTGCAAAAGTTATGAAGGGAAAAGTAAGTGGTCTCTAGGGGTGTGTCTAGACTACATGCCTCCGTCGACGGAGGCATGTAGATTAGCCAGCTCGGCAGAGGGAAATGAAGCCGCGATTATTTTAATCACGGCTTCATTTCCCTCTGCCGAGCTGGCTAATCTACATGCCTCCGTCGACGGAGGCATGTAGATTAGCCAGCTCGGCAGAGGGAAATGAAGCCGCGATTATTTTAATCACGGCTTCATTTCCCTCTGCCGAGCTGGCTAATCTACATGCCTCCGTCGACGGAGGCATGTAGATTAGCCAGCTCGGCAGAGGGAAATGAAGCCGCGATTATTTTAATCACGGCTTCATTTCCCTCTGCCGAGCTGGCTAATCTACATGCCTCCGTCGACGGAGGCATGTAGTTTAGATGTACCCTAGATGACTGACTTTCTCTCATACTGATTCCAATGGACACGAAGGGCATGTCTAACAGCCTCCTGGCACGAGTAGACAGACTTGCATTAGTGGGGCATGAACTTGTGAACTAAATACAGGGTGAATATTGCAGCTTGAGCTGTCACTAGGGTTCTCAAGCCCACTTGACCCCTGGGGTCAAGCTCAGGAGGCTATCTTGAGTCTCTGCTGGAGCTGGAAATTTCATGCTGCTATTTTTAGCATGCTGTCTTGAGCTACATGAGCAAGAGTGTCTCCTCTCAGGCTAGAAGAATTGCTCCAAAATGCCATGTGGCCATCTGCAAGGGTGCAATTTCCAAAAGAAACCCCAAATACTCTCAGCATTGTGGCCAAACTCTGGTCTTATTGAAGTCAGCGAGCAGAGATAGGTCAATGCCGAGTGGTTTTGTTAACCCCATGCAAATAAGGAGAATACTATATCGCTTTAACAAACTATAAACAAATTATGTGCAAAAAGTACGCTGTGACTAAAGATCACCACTTGTTGAAAAGATCATCTTATTTCACATAGTTGCAGCTTTTAAAATTGCAAATCATGGAATATATTTCTCAGAATGCTGGCAGGCCCTGCATTATTTTACATTGAAGCAGACTTTCACCTACCATATCAAGAGTGATTTATATAAGGGGTATATTTTAGAATCAGGAGCTATAAGGCACTGATCTGTACTGAGCTATGAAATGGCGTACAATCCCCCAAACTCTTCTAGCAGGCTGCTTTTTTTTATAGCCTGTCAATCTGTGTACAGCTTGCTAACCAGATTTGAAAAGTAACTGTATTTACTGATATATTAAACCAACCTGAATGTTACAAGATGTTTACACTTGTTTACACTTTTCAAAATGGTCTAATATATGAACAACGTCTTTTGCTATTATACAAATGAAGTCCATGCCACCTCAAATAGTAAATTCAAATGTTAGGCACTTTAACAAGAAGAGGACTATGTGTTTCAAATACACATTAAAGAATCCATCATGCACTTTGATACAATGAATTGTAGAAGTCTTAATATTCATTTTTTGTTCTTAATACTTAACAAAAACAGAACATGCTTGGTTAAAGTTGCCAGGAGACTAATTGCAGTTTATGCATAGAGATATTTTTACAGTGCTTATAATCATAGTATTTGAGTGCCTATATTATTTATATAATACAATAAGCTTGCCTGGTGCTTTACCAACACATTAAAAAAAAAGAGAGGGAGAAATCCTGGCCCCACTGAATTCTAAGGGAGTTTTTCCATTTACTTCCTTGGAGCTAAGATACACCCTTCTACGCATGTAGAAGAACATAATTTGTTGGACAAAAGTCAACATGGTTTCTGTAAAGGGAAATCCTGTCTTACTAATCTATTAGAGTTCTTTGAAGGGGTTAACAAACATGCGGATAAGGGGGATCCAGTAGATATAGTATACTTGGATTTTCAGAAAGCCTTTGACAAGGTCCCTCACCAAAGGCTCTTGTGTAAATTACATGGCCATGGGATAAGAGGGAAGGTCCTTTCTTGGACTGAGAACTGGTTAAAAGACAGGAAACAAAGGGTAGGAATAAATGGTAAATTTTCAGATTGGAGAGGGGTAAATAGTGGTGTACCCCAAGGGTCTGTCCTGGGACCAATCCTTTTCAACTTATTCAAAAATGATCTGGAGAAAGGGGTAAGCAGTGAGGTAGTAAAGTTTGCGGATGATACCAAACTGTTTAGGATAGTCAAGACAGAAGCAGACTGTGAGGGACTCCAAGAAGATCTCACCAAACTCAGTGATTGGGCAGCAAAATGGCAAATGAAATTTAATGTGGATAAGTGTAAAGTAATGCACATTGGGAAAAATAACCCCAACTATATGTACAGTATGATGGGGGCTAATTTGGCTACGACAAATCAGGAAAGAGATCTTGGAGTTATCGTGGACAGTTCTCTGAAAACTTCCACGTAGTGTGCAGCTGCGGTCAAAAAGCCAAATAGGATGCTAGGAATTATTAGGAAAGGGATAGAAAATAGGACACAGAATATCTTACTGCCCGTGTATAAAACTATGGTACACCCACATCCTGAATACTGTGTACAAATGTGGTCTCCTCACCTCAAAAAAGATATTTTGGCCTTGTAAAGGGTTCAGAAAAGGGCAACTAAAATGATTAGGGGTTTGGAGCGGGTCCCATATGAGGAGAGGTTAAAGCGACTGGGACTTTTCAGTTTAGAAAAGAGGAAACTGAGGGGGGTATGATAGAGGTATATAAAATCATGCGTGGTGTGGAGAGGGCCGATAAAGAAAAGTTATTTATTAGTTCCCTAAATAGAAGAACTAGAGGACACCAAATGAAATTAATGGGTAGCAGGTTTAAAACTAATAAAAGAAAGTTCTTCTTCACACATGTGTAGTCAACCTATGGAACTCCTTGCCAGAGGAGGCTGTGAAGGCTAGGACTATAATAGTTTAAAGAGAAGCTAGATAATTTCATGGAGGTTAGGTCCATAAAAGGCTATTAGCCAGGGGATAAAATGGTGTCCTTGGCCTCTGTTTTTCAGAGGCTGGAGAGAGATGGCAGGAGACAAATCGCTCGATCATTGTCTTCGGTCCACCCTCTCTGGGGCACCTGGTGCTGGCCACTGTCGGTAGACAGGACACTGGGCTAGAAGGACCTTTGGTCTGACCCAGTACGGCCGTTCTTATGTTCTTATGTTCACCCAAAAGCCTTGCTCCACAAGGTAAAAGAAAAAAGAGAATGCCAGAGGTGGGACATAGTAGGAAAGTGAAGAGGGTCCCATAAGGTTATCTTTTAAAATGCATTTATTAACATTTCAATTGTTTTTAAAATGGAAAGACACTTATCTGAGTAATTGACTCAGACTAAACACTTCTTGGGTTTTAAGGTGGTATTTTCAAAAAAATACTTATGCATTAGGGCTGCGTCTAGACTGGCATGATTTTGCAGAAATACTTTTAATGGAAACGTTTTTCCGTTAAAAGTATTTCCACAAAAGAGCGTCTAGATTGGCACTGATGCTTTTGGGCAAAAAGTGCTTTTGCGCAAAAGCATCCGTGCCCAATATAGACGTGCTTTTGCGCAAGAAAGCTCCAATGGCCATTTTAGCCATTGGGCTTTCTTGCACAAAAAATTAAGATGCCTGTCTACACTGGCCCTCTTGCGCAAGTATTCTTGCACAAGAGGGCTTATCCCTGAGCGGGAGCATCAAAGTATTTGCGCAAGGAGCCCTGAATTCTTACATTAGAACGTCAGTGTTCTTGCGCAAATTCAAGCGGCCAGTGTAGACAGTTGGCAAGTTTTTGCACAAAACCAGCTGCTTTTGTGCAAAATCTTGCCAGTCTAGACGCACCCTAGGGCTATGTCTACACTCGCGGCTTCTTGCGCGAGTAATATGCAAATGTGGCTAAGCGTGGAATATCGCTGAGCCTCATTTGCATACCTAATGAGCCACCATTTTTTTCAGAAGAGGCTCTTGCTCAAGAAGGAGCGTCTACACTGCCCCTTCTTGCGCAAGAAAAACTCTCTTGTGCAATGCTATTACACCTATTACTTGAGAGGAA